ATTATTATTATAAGCCTTATAGTAAGCTCTCTTAGTGAGGTTCAAACACTTAGCTCCAATTGGGTCTTTTCGGGTGATCTTGAACAAGGACTCACCTGGCACACACTTTTTGCTCTGTCTCCTCCTGTCTCCTCTCTCTCTCTTTTGGTCTGTCCCTTTTTTCTTTTTCTGTCTGGATCTCATCTAATCATATGAGACACATGGTGTCTTTCTTAACTATTGATTGACACCTAATCATTTACCCTGAACATAATTAACTAAGGTAAATTTTTGTTCACAGAATCTGAATGCCCTACATCTCAGCAAACATCCTCTTTGCTTTGAAGCTGGAAATGTTTATACTGTCAGGCATTACCCTTTGTTTCAAGATAATTTTTAGACACATCCATTGTCATCTATAACTTAACAATATGATGGTGGGACTTTGATGATATAGAGCTGTTTTGCACCACTGGTCTGAGGGCCCTTGTTATGTTATGAACTCAACGTTTCAACGTTTTAGCTGAAAACCTTGTTGCTTACATTTGGCCAAAAGTGGATCTTCCACCAAAATAATGATCACAATCACACATCAAAATACACAGAAAATGGGTAATTGACCACAATTTTTTTTTTGCTATGGCCATCTCTGTACCTATATCTATATCTATGTATCTATAATACATTTTGCCATAAAGTAAAGATCCATCGCAATGTGTTCTCCACTATCATAAAACATTATAGAAAATGGATCATTGCGGTTATCCTGGAAAGGGGAGAGTGCACAAAGTAATGAAAACAGGGGTGCCAGTAATTGAGGTACATAATTTTGGAAATATATTTCTAAAATCAATAATTCAAAATATCATCAATAATGTAAAACATATTCCATATATTGTAAAATTATCATATTCAAACTCAAACCCCAAGATGTATCTAATTTTTAAATACCTCATTATAGTTATTCCCATAATTGAGCTAATTAAACTTACTTTTTCAAATCCCTTTTATGAATTAAATGTTTGTTAATTCATACTTCATTTTGTTTGAACAGACACAGAATGGTAAACACTATTGGATACATGAAGATTGATTTTTATTCAAAGGGGCTATCATTATACAACTATTACATTTCTATATTTATCTTTCGGATTTACAAACTTTCTCTGCTGAGTAAATGCAAAAATGCCCTTTTGATTTTAAGAAAAATCTCCACAAACATCTGTCCATGTAAAAAAAAAAAATCTGGACCTGAAGGTCAACCACAAACAGGAGGCAGAAGTGCTCAAAAGTTGACACATTGTCGATACATGACCTTACCATAAGGCATACAAAAAAACTGGTGCATCAAGATGTTTGTTTTAAAAATGGGATAAAAGTAATGTAAATTCTGTGTACCAGGCAGAGTTCTTGCTTGACCTCATCACAATTTGAAAAACTTGTTTTGTGCAAATGTAAACTCCACAGCTAGGATATCGTCCTTTGCAATGAGGTAAAGTTGATGTGGAGTCAGAATTTGGTCCCGATATGGGTTTTGCAAACCAGCTTTGCTATTTAATTGTGGATAAAGGTGGATGCTGCACATTGGTGGTGGAGTCCCCATTACCTGTAAAGCGCTTTGAGTGGAGTGTTCAGAAAAAGCGCTATATAAGTGTAAGCAATTATTATTATTATTATTATTATTATTATTATTATTACCACCCAGCACACACCATGTGCATCAGACGTTTCACTGATTCCACAACAAAGTGGTGACAAAGATTCCTGAAGGCTTTTCAGTGCTTGTATTGTGCCACACATCCACCAGATAAACAAAATAGGGCACTTAAGAGTATAATTTTTTACATTTATTTTTACATTTTTACACAAATGTGAAAAGAAAATAATGTCTGTGAGCCACCTCCTGCTAAAGATTCAGAATTCATGGGGACTGACCTGAGATCCTGTAGTAAAGTACATGCTGTGCTTCAGCAATGGCACACACACAAGAGCTTCAGAATATATAAAGAAGATTCAAATTATTTGTAGTTCTATATTTCTTAACAATACAATGTATGTATAAAATATTGTTACAACCCAGGTGTGGACACACAAAGTCTAACGATAGTAGTTCATATCTTGGCTGCACTATTCAAGACTTTACTCAGAAAGCCTAAAACTATAGATAAGATCACTTTATTAGCTATATACAATTTCTTGCATTAGGCATTTGTCTTAACCCAAGTGGGCCTTGGGTTAAATTCTAGATCTGGGTTGCTATCTGTGTGGATTTTGTATGTTCTCCCTGTGTTTGTATGGTTTTCCTTAGGGTGCTTTGGTTTCCTCCCAGACTCCAAAGACATATTGGAGGTTTAACTGGCTTGTGAAAACATTGGCCACATGTGAGTGTGTGAGCGTGTTTTTCTGTGATGCCCTGTGATGGACAGATATTCTGTCCAGGGTGTATCCGGCCTTTGCTTTCTAGGTTAGGCACCGGCTCTCCTTCGACCCTGCATTGGATGAAGTGATAAAAAATGGGTGGATGGAAGTTTGGAATTAATTGTCCTAGTTTTTCAGCAGGATATGTTTGTGCAAAAGACTTTTACAGTGTTATCCAATATATTGTATGTGCAAACATTAGAGTAGAAAATTTTAAATTAAAGCAGTGTTTGTTATTGAAAGAAACCTTCAAAAATACCATACAATCAATGCAAGTCTTCCGAAGAAAAGGATTTTGAGCTTTTTGAATATGGTTGAATACCTTGGTCAGGCCAGGACCAAAATGACACAGGACCCAGGTTGGTTTTAAAATTAAATGTTTTTTTCTATCTCAGTTTATGTGCAAATCTATGATTAAGACCTGCATAATCTTCAATGCCAGATGCTTACTATACTTATTAAATTTCTACATTATTATTACTATTAAATTATTATTACTATTGATATTATTACTATTAAATTACTATAAAAGCATCCTATTAATGTCTGAAAGTTATGATACCAATTTTGGAGTAAATTAGTTATATATAGGTTTTTAAAAATAAGCATTACAAGATGCTTACTGACAACAAAGAACTGGCATTCAAGGTATTATATAGTTAATACAAGAATCCCAGATTTATACACATTCACTGTGTTGACACTAGAATTTGAAATGTTAAGTTTGCAGTGAACTTGTCAAACACTTTTTAAGCAGGCGCAGTTTATACCTTGAGCCTTATTTTGCAAGATAGTTTAAAGATATATTGTGGGTGCTAAACTTATCAGCAACTTGTCAGGTGCAAACTTTAAAACGCTTTTCATGAAAGAAATGAAAGAAGACGACTTTGAAAAGAAGAAGGAAAAAAAAAAGTGGTCAGGTCTTTGCTTGGAAGCTTAAAAATTCCTGCAATCACTTTTGGCTTCCATTGCTCAGTAAGCTCACCCCAAAAGTACTACCCAAGCTTTTGTTGTTACATTTATATTTTTCGTATATAGAAATTATTTAATATCAACAAAATAAGCAAAAGGAGAGGGTCATTTATTTTATGGTCTCCATTTTTTTATTCTCCCGCTGGATGTATCCGGCCCATGTAAGTCTACTCACAGCGTGAACTGACCTCAACACTTAACCCTACCATTCAGTGATTGTAATGAAAAGTTAGAATAATTAGACAAATTTAACAACACTTCCATCTGAGACACGGTGACAACAACAACACAACAAGGACAATGTGATTTTACATACCTCCCTCAGAAACCAGAGACCCTGCCAGAATGCAGTATGCCTGAAAAAAACAAACAGATAAGTCTCAGACAAAAGGCTGAAAAATAGTTTTTCTACTTGTAAAATTCCATATAAATATTTAATACTAAGCGGATTAAAACATGCACAGTAAAGCGATTAAATTATTAAATCTTTTCACTAACGACCAATGCATCACGTCGGTCATTTTGGCCATCCAATCAAGTACCGCAGTATAACGCAGTGACTTGTGGGTAGTTGCGTGCGGTATGGGTTTGTACCGGGCATTTTGAAGGAAACTACTTGAAGAAAATAAAGAATGTTATTTATAAGCCATTAACAAAACACTTAAGCAATCACTCAAGATATAATTATTTGATTTAAGTTCTAATGATAATAATATTGTATGTGTATGGAATGGTAGGCATGTATTTTTAAAGTAGGTTTTCAAGATTTGAATGAATGCTCAACGTTTATTCAAATTCATTGTGTGATTAAATTATTACGTGTATTTGGACCACTAATTCATACAATTGATCTAGTACCTGGTATAATTATAACTAATCAAGTGTGCAGATGTTATATGGAGGTAAATTGGAATCACTGAGCTTGAACATATAGCAAACAATGTTAGGATATAAAGTTAAAGTTAATGCACAAAGAAGTGTTTATTATGAAATGTTAAAAATGTACAATACAATAGTAAGATCTATTTAACAATAATGTATACAGCAATGGTCACCATAATTTTTAATGTGGTGACCATTTTGTCATATGTTATATATAACATATAACTGTTTAGGAATCAGTCCAAAGCAGTGACCATATCTATTCCAATGCTATAGACAATTGACAGGCTAAAATAACTGAATCTTCTTACTTTCCAAACTATAGGGAAGTGCATTTAAAACAAAAACCGGAGGCTCTTTTTTTTTTTACACAAAGAGTTGTAGTGGTCTGGAACCTAACCATAATCTCAAAGCCAAAACCCATGGTTATCTATAGAAACTCACATTATCTATTAACTGCTAGTGACAAAATAAGTCCAAATGACCTCATGGTATTGTAACCTCTGTTGATGGTCTACCGTCACATATTCCAGGTGGATGCTGCACATTGGTGGTAGAAGGGAGTCCCCATTACCTGTAAAAGGGCTTTGAGCGGATTACCTAGAAAAGTGCTATTTAAGAGTAAGGAATTATTATTATTATTGATGGCATTCCTACCCAAAGCAGAGACTCAATTGGCTGAGGGTGAAGCAAACCAATGACACCATGGTACCACGACAATCCAGCTCCCATCATGAAGATGCCAACACCACTGATGAGTGAAGCTATGTAGCGCATGTTGGAAAATCCATATCTAGATTAAAGAAATAGTTTAGCAGAACAGAGATTGAGTCCATTAAAATAGCAATGCTAACTGACAACAAGGAACAGCAGATTTCATACTACTAAATAAAAAACTATGGATATATATAATGTTGGCACAGTGGTGAACTGGTTAGCATTGCTGCCTCGCAGTATTGGGACACTGGTTTCAATTTCAGGACTGGGGTGCTATTTGTTTGGAGTTTGTAAGTTCTTACAGTGGTCACATGGGTTTCCTCTGGGTGCTCTGGTCTCCTCCCACAGTCCAAAAACATACTGGTAGGTTAACAGGCTATTGTGAAAACTGGCCTTGGCTTGAGTAGTGTGCATGTTTGTGTTTGTGCCCTGCCATGGACTTGCATCCCATACAGGCTGTACCCCACCTTGCACCCATTGCTTGCTAGGACAGACTCCAGCTCCCCTGCTGATATAGCCAGCAGCCATATCACCCTGCAACTCACAACTGGCAACCCACTGAAGCTAAGCAGGTGTGAGCCTGGTCAGTACCTGGATGAGAGACCTCCTGGAAAAACTAAGGTTGCTGCTGGAAGAGGTGTTAGTGGGGGCCAGCAGGGGGCGCTCACCCTGTGGTCCATGTGGGTCCTAATGCCCCAGTATAGTGACAGGGACACTATACTGTAAACAGGTGCTGTCTTTCGGATGAGATGTAAATTCGAGGTCCTGACTCTCCGTGGTCATTAAAAAATCCCAGGGCGTCTCTCGAAAAGAGTAGGGGTGTAACCCCGGCGTCCTGGCCAAATTTCCCATTGGCCCTTACCAATCATGGCCTCCTAATAATCCCCCTCTATGAATTGGCTACATTACTCTGCTCTCCTCCCCACTGATAGCTGATGTGTGGTGAGCGTTCTGGCGCACTATGGCTGCCATCGCATCTTCCAGGTGGATGCTGCACATTGGTGGTGGTGGAGGAGAGTCCCCATTACCTGTAAAGCGCTTTGAGTGGAGTGTCCAGAAAAGCACTATATAAGTGTAATTAATTAACCCTGAATTGGATGAAACGTTTAGAAAATGGATAGATATACTGTGCCGTGAAAAAGTATTTGCCCTATAGATCCCAAATAGATTTCCTCTATTATTGCAGGTTTTTGACATTGACATTCAGGTCTTCAACCAAAATCTAATATTAGATAAAGGGAACCCGAGTGAACAAATAACACATTTTTGTTACTTAATTTATTTATTTAATGAAAGTTATCCAACACCAACTGGCACTGTGTGAAAAAGTAATTTTTCCCCTAGTTAAATCTATCCAATTAAAGGGATAAGTAGGGTCAGCTGACTGAACACAGCCAGGCTTGATTACAGCTTGATTACAACCTAACTTATTTTGACCCTTACCATCAGAGTCAAGTTGCCAGCACAAAGATTCAACAAGCATATTATGCCACAATCAAAGAAACTTCCTGAAGAGATCAGAAAAAAAGTTGTTGATATCTATCAGTCTGGAAAGGGTTACAAAGAACCACAGTGAGAGCCATAATCTCCAAATGGAGAACACTTGGAACAGCAGTAAATCTTCCCAGGAGTGGTTGTCCTGCCAAACGTTTCCCCAAGGGTACAGCATAAAATCATCCAGGAAGTCGCAAAGGATCCTAAAAAAACATCCAAATAACTGCAGGCTTCTCTTGCCTCAGCTAACATCAGTGTTCATGACTCCACAATCAGAAAGAGACGGGGCAAAAATAGGCTTCTTTGAGAACACAGACGGAGAGATTAGACTGGTCATGGCCGTCAGAGGTGAAATGAGAAACAATGGGTTTGGAGAGATCTTTAATCTTCACAGCCCTAACATGTCCTAACATGTTTTCCTAAATGAGGTCCCATCTCTCTCTGTGGTGCTAGCCACAGAAAAGCATTCATGCTGGAATGTTTCTTTACGGATAAGGAACAGCTCCCAAATGGGGATGCACCCAGCCATGCCTGGCTATCATGATCAATGGCCATTCCCGGGGCCTATCTGTCCATGGAATTCCTGGGAACATCTGGACTGTAGTCTTAGATGTTAGAGGTCATTGTTACCGATTTCTCACCTTGATTATATGTTTTATTTTGGGGTAATTTATTTTTGAAAACTCATTGAGCTCACCAAACATCTTCTGTTAGATGCCTTGAGTTTTTTTCTTCATCATGTAAATTCCACTTTTTACCCCTAATGAACTCATTTATTGTACTGGATTTTTTTAGTCACTATCATGAACATATAAACGAGAAGATGTTTCTGTAAAATTCAGAATTCAGTAAATACCTCTGGAAAACCACTGGTGATAGTTTCTAATTTTTCAGATAAAGTAGCAAACCTTATGAGCTTATGAGGTTTTGGAATGTCAGTAGATTTATGTTTAGAGATGTCAGTGTTTTGCTGGTTAAGGTTTAAGTGTTCATATTTGTTTTAAAGGTGTAAAAAGTATTTATGGGAGGCTGTGGGGGATTAGATATGAGTGCTGAACTCTGTTTACTAAAAATGTTAATCCGTTAGGTTGTATATTGTTGTGAGTTAAGATAAGCGTAATGTTAGAAATTTTGTTTTGTTGTTAAAATATGTTATAGTGTTTGTAAGTTTTTAAATATAAGAATGTAAGATATATGAATCAGTAAGTTTCCCACTCTTGTCCTGTGCCATAGCTTCCCACAGTATTTTCTCATATTTAGAAAATAAACCTTTAAGTAAGGTATCCTGTATGAGTTATTTTTCAGCACATGCCTGAAAATTAACTCACTGGTGAAACACCAGCAATGGACGGGACCCACAGGACAGCACCGCAGCCAGGCAGTTTAAGAACTCATGACACAGATGCAGTGAAGAAGTCACCTAGTGACTCTAGCTAATGCCTATAGCTATAATTTCCATAGCTAATGCAGCATCTCTGAGCTGTCATAGCCAGTTTCTTTACCCCCTCCTGACAACTGATGATTACCCATGTGCCTGGGCAGGCAACATTTAGTAGCAGCTACTGCCTGCTGCTGTGAAGAATTAGGACATGGCTACACATGTAATATATGGCCTCACCATGCTTCACAGATGAGGTGGTGTTCTTTGGAACTTTGATTGCATAGTGCTCTGTTGATTAAGTCTAGGGACTTTATTTTCTGTCCTACAGGACAACACCACATCATGCTACTTTTGTAATGATAATTTGTGACTCTGGAACCGGCTCAGTTGTGTTGATATCAATTCAGAACAATTCTGAAAATAATCTCATAAATATTTTGAGTTACTTTATAATTAAAATTTTACATTAAACTTTTGAGTCTTACCCATATCCAACTTAACTGTAGCACTTTACACTTTACTCTTATATTAGTTAATCTATAGCTGTTGCATTAGGCCATTAAGTCTGTTCAGTATCCATAGTTTTCTATTTATTTTCTTAACTTTCACAGGTTTTCCAATTTCCAGGGATAATGGGAATTCTGACATGAATTTTACAAACTATATAAAGTAAGAAGATACTGTAATAAGCTAAGAACAAGTTCTACTGTTTAGAACTGAAACAAAGTAGTCCAGTGTTCTACCTCATTAGGATTACTTTGATACAACTATAAGTGTTCATCGTTAGACTCACGGAATAGTATACAATATTTTAAAGATGCGTAACAGAAACTTTAATTAACTTTCTGTGCTACTTACGGATGGACAGCATCAGGGTTCTTGACAGACTGACTAATGCCCAAAGCAAGTAGAGCCTGTATAAATAAAAAGCTGAAATCAGTAAGTAAACAAATTTAATTTGACATTCATAATGGTTCAAAAATATGTAATTTTATAATCAACAATATACTAATTTATCTACTTTTTATACTAAAAACTATACTGAAATGTTAAAAAAATATTAATGACTTGACAGTGTGTTCCACATGGTGTACCACTGGTTATTTCAGGGTTTGACCCTTGAAGTGTTATCAAAATCACACTATTATATGCCTTTTCCCATCTAACGCAGAATAGCTACAATTAATATATTAATGCATTAAATTATTTTTAAACACATGGGTTGAGCTCAGATTAACTGAGAACTGAAATTCTGTTTGAATGGTTTAGGGTCTAAAGAAAGTCTGTCATTCTTTACACTCATTTTAAGACCGCCCCTGGGGAGGTTACAACCTAAGGTTACTGGAGAAATAAGCAGTTCTGCCCTAAGGTTCGTTCATCTCCCCTCTGGAACCAAAAGGGGCTTCTAGCTCTGGAGTCAGCCATTCTAATTCACGTTTCATGGCTACTCTGCAAATGTTTAATGTTTAGGCACTTTATTTAAAATGTGTGTATTTTGATAATAACTGGGAGGAAAAGGGAAACAATTAATCGGTTTATTCCATGCTGAAAAAAAGAAGAAAGAGAACACAACGTTTCGGCCGTGGAGCCTTCTTCAGGTGTGAGAAGAAGGCTCCATGGCCAAACGTTGTGTTCTCTTTCTTCTTTTTTTCAGCACGGAATAAACCGATTACTTATTGCTTTGCAGCCTACGCATGCTGACGCAGCTACCCACCTGAACTACAAAGGGAAACAATGGCTATTTTCTAATAAATCCTAATATTGGGTTCATGAAAATGTCACAAGGAATAAAGACGTTCATAGGTGAAGAACTACAGAGTCTGTACACAGCAACTACTCTCTTTATTTCCTTTCTGATCACAGTTAAGGTCCCATGTAATTGAGTAAATGGAAAACCTACAAACTAAGAGAAAACCTAGAATTAGGATTTTCAGAATACATATATTTTTTTAGGTGTCAAAGGTATGACTCACTTTATTTTCTTTAGTTTGACTCTGCTCCAGTACTTAAGGAATGTGTCTCCACATTTTTATTGGTATTGTGGTATTGTACGAGAATTAACAATGTGACAAGTTAACTAGCATGTTAAGTAGACTACATATCTGTTTACCTACCTGGTTGCAGGTGTCTGCCAGAGAGTGAATGGCCTCTGAAAACATGCTAGCTGATCCAGTGTAAACCCAAGCAAGGAGTTTAAAGAAAAAATTCAGTCCATTGCTGAAATAAAAAAAACAAAAATCAATGAGAAAAAATAGTTTCAGTACTTCATGAAAAATTACTTAATACTCATTAATTTGCAAAGCAGTTTGAAAAATTCTTAATATTGAGCATATTTTTGTCAGGAGACGTAAACCTCAACAGAAGATAATGATTACACTTTAAATCAGATCATACCCTGAAAATGAACACCAATTCAGGCCAGATAAACATGTTTCAAAATAATTATTTCAAATTACAAATTAAGTCTTATTTATACTACAAACTGAATTTATACTGCGATAAGCAAAATGTAAGAAAATGTTAATCATCTGGGGCCAGAAAAGAGAAAGGAAGATGATCATTTAGGTCAATTAAATAAGCATCCTATATGAAATGCTTCATAGTGCAAAAGAGTTGTACTGACAGAAAACCCAATGAATCAGAGTGGCATGATGTTAAAGCCATCTTGGAACTACAATATTTTACATGTGACTATATAAACATGAAAACCTAATATACATAATCTAATATACTAATATTGTCAGGGATATGAAATGTAAATTTGCTTCAACTTCTAAAGAGGAGTTGCACCAATATACGTTTAAATTCTACAATTCTGGCATAAAGTCAGAGTGAAAAATAAAGAAAAAATAAGGAAAGGCCAAGGTTACCATAATGATATTCAAACAATGAATTACTTTTTTACCACTATAGGCTAAACTTTTAATGTTCCTGAACTTACATGCAAATTGCCACCATCACCACCTTTCCTGGTCCTTGCAAAAATGTGGCCCGCTTGCCTGAGCGTGGCTTCATACCACACAGGGTTGGGAAAGGGACACAAAGAGCGTTAGAGAGATTAAACAATGACAAAGATATTTAATGATATTCTAGCAAACCAAGGAGAGTAAACCAAGCCCAGGCCTCACCTTAGTGTTGCCGAAAAAATCTTTATATTCTTCCAGCAACTTCTGATTTCGGAACAAATCTGCAAAAATGTAAAAAGAATGTATATGTCACCATCCCTGTGTAACTATGAGGGTTATCATGGCAAACTGTGTTTATTAAAACAAAACAGAAGAAGCTAGGAAGAGTATAAGAAATAAAACTAATTGGAGGTTTTGAAATATTTGTTTTATGAACAGTCTAGGGACAAGGAATATGGCTAAAGAGGCCCCTCTTATAAGAGCGATCGTAAATCTGTACAGCTGAACAGTGTAATGACGTATAGCATAGATAGGCTCCAGACAGACATGATCTTAAAGTGACAGGGCATGGTCAATCGCCCAAAGGAAGATTCACCAATGAGTGATATGTAGGATAGCTACCAGAACCAAACCTGATAGCATCTCGGCCAATCACCAACTCTGTGGCTAAGGATCTGTGCCTGTGGCTGGAAGGTTGCCGGTTCAAATCCCACCGCAGGCAGAGGAATCCTACTCCACTGGGCCCCTGAGCAAGGCCCTTAACCCCAGCTGTTCCAGGAGCACCGTATAAATGACTGGCCCTGCGCTCTGACCCCAAGCTTCTCTCTCCCTGTCTGGGTGCCTGTGTGTCTCATGGAGAGCAAGCTGGGGTATGCAAAAAGACCAAATTCCTAATGCAAGAAATTGTCTATGGCTAAAAAAGTGATCTTATCTTATAAAAACTGTAACCCAGCTCTTTTTCGCTCGTTAACCACTGGCTTCCAATTTCTCCATCTGTAAGCAGTCCAAGTCAGTACTTGGACTGACTTGTTTCACAGATATATACTCCAAGATGCCAGTCCAAGAAAATTAGTCAGTGTTATTTTCACCTGATCAACAAAATTACAGTTGGATTCTTTTTTTTTTTGTCAATATACAGAATAACCAAGCATATTCTGAACAAATCTATAGCCAGGATGAACTGAATTGCCCTTTGTCTACCTTGCAGTCAGCCACCAAGATGTTCGTACAACAGTTTTCAAGTCGTATTCTTTCACTTAGTTTTAAGTATTATTAAAGGCTGCTAAAACTCTTTGTGTACCTTAACCATGCAGCCTGGTTACTCTCTATGTAATGGCATAGGAATGCAGCAAAAGAGGCACCAATTTGTGATCTCAGCCACGGAATGACTTAGTGTTCTTTGTGTGTGGGAAAGTGAGGTGAATCTCGATAACTTCTGGAAAAATTACCCTTCCCAGGACAGCAGTGATCTTAACTCCCATGATGGATGTCCAGAGAGTCTAGCAGAGAGCCATAAGAACATCTGGACATAATCTTAAAATCACAGTGCATGGCCAATCACCCAAAAGGAAGGTCCACCAATGATTGATCTGTAGGGTAGATACTACAACCATACCTGATAGCATCTCATCCAAACTAGCTATCTGACTTTTCCAACCATGTAACTGCAGCAGTCCAAGTCAGAACTTAAACTATCCTCCGTGAAGCCAGGCTTAGAGAGTGAATCAGCAAAGTACAGAATTCTGTCCAAGATATTCTCTCTGAAACAGAAGAAATCTTGTCTTCACAAACCTAGGTTTATTTTCACCTGATCAATGAAGTTAGACAGATGGACTTTCTTTTGCCGACATCTAGAATATCCAAGCATATTCTGAACAAAGCGATAGTTGAGATTAACCAAGTTCCCTTTTACCTGCACTGCAGCCCAACCCCAAGAAGACAAACTGCACACAGACTGTTTTTATAGACCATAGTCAACAGCATGTTTTGGCTGAGCCCCAAAGGAATACAAAACCTTTTGTCGTAGTTCTGTCTACATCGGGACTCTCCCAATAGAAAACAACTGCCAAGTCAGGTCATGAATCAATCCAGCCCAGCTCCATCTTACCAACAAAAAGTTTAACCCATTAAGGATGTGTGGTCAATGGATTTTTTGAGTCTAAACATATTTATTCAGCTTATAATTCTCATGAGTTGAACTACTATTCATGACAGTAAATGCATGTTTACCTGTGTCTGAGAATATAAATGTGATTTAATTATATGAGATGGATAGGACCTACTAGGTAGACCATAACACATTACAGACTTTATGTGTTTTAAAACTGAAGTTATTAATTCTGATATTTGTAATCCCCAAGTGAACAATCAGCCATTCATATCATAGAAGATTGTTTCACAGATATATTATATTAAATTTGTTTGTTATGAGTATTTAGGTTTTATATCAATAAATTGTATTTATGCTTAATTGGTTGCTAATGGTTATCAAATACTCTCACAATTTATCGTAACAATTACTGATTGTTACAGAAAATTAAAACCTCACTTCATCTACAACAGTTAGCTGGTATTGTGTTCATGTAGGTGGTGTGTTGTGATCTGGAAAGCCTCAAAAAAGCTTAAGATAATTACATAATTGAAATGCACCTACTTTCTTTAAACTCTCTCTCCACTTCCTTTCTGAGTTTGCGCTCTCTGGCTAGTGCCTCTAGACTTCCCCACACCTCTAAAGCTCTAAAACAGAAAAAAATATAATTAAGGCACACTATTATGAGACAAGGAGTTCTGCTTTTTCTCAGCCAAAACAGCATATAAATACATGCTGAGCATCAACTGAAACTTCTCACTAACTGCAATAAATTTACAAAGTTAGTATGAAAATGACAATTGTTTTTGCACCTGGTATTCTAGCATTTGATTGAACCGATACGACACAGGTAATGTCATTATTATGATTAACATTTCTCATCAATGGGGCTGAATAATCAGAATAAAAAATAGAAGCTGCACATCTGATAGGCATGCTTTTGCTTATACATTGTTTTACATATATTACATACAGTTTTATGCAAACATGTGGGCACCCCTGGCCAAATTACACGTTTTGTTGATTTTCTAAGTGAAAAGACGTTAACAAAACCTCTGCAGTGAACACTTAAACTTGACATGTTTCTGCAAATATTAATGCACAGTTACTATTTATTTGCTAAATTTAACAGATAAAAAAAATAAAACAGTAAATGTGGCATGTGCAAAAGTTTGGGCACCCTTCCAGTTGATCCACTAGTGTTATTTTTTTGTAAGGTCTCAGGACTTAATTGACTCGTTAGGCCTTAATTTAAGTAAGGTGATGACAATTCCAGAGCTTCATAAATTCTCTGACTCTTCGAACCACTAACCAGCTGACTGAGGGCCAGAAAATAAAGATAACTGACTCCTACAAAGCAGGGGAAGGCTATAAAAAGATATCTAAATGCTTCCTGCTTTTTCCACAGTCTGAAACATCATAAAGAAATGGAAGTTAAAGGGAACTGCTGAAGTCAAGAGAATGTCTGGAAAACCAAGAATGAATCTTCGATACAAATGCTTGTAGACTAGTCAGGAATGCAAAGCAAAACCCCAAATCACTGCAAATGAACTGCAGGAAGGTTTAGCTGGCAAAGGAGTAGTGAAGCACAGGTACACTGTGCAGCGTTGCTTGCACAAACATGATCTGCATGGAAGAGTCATCAGAAGGAAACCTCACCTGCAATCTCATCAAAAAAGTCAACTTCTGAAGCATGCAACAGAACACTTAGATAGGCCAGAGGTGTTTTGGAACCAAGTGCTGTGGTCTGATTTAGTAAAAATTGAACTCTTTGGATACAATCACCAAAAAAAGAAGAAGCATTTGAAAATAACACCTTGCCAACTGTTAAGCATGTGGGTGGATCTATTATGCTTTGGGGTTATGTGCCAATTGCACAGAAAATATTGTGCGGGTAGAGGGAAGAATGGATTCTACTAAGTATTAACAAATCCTGGAAGACTAATGTCCCACAGTCAGTGAAGAAAGTGAAGCTGAAAAGAGGTTAGATATTACAACAAGACAATGATCCAAAACATACCTCAAAATCAACCATGAACTATTTCAAGAAATGAAAGATTAAGGTTTTGGAATGGCCTTCACAGTCCACAGAAAATCTTTGGGTAGATTTTAAACATGCAGTGCATGCAAGATGACCAAAGAATATTTCTGAACTAGAAGCATTCTGCAAGGAAGAATGGGAAAAAATACCTAAAGCAAGAACAGAAAGAATGTTAACTGGCTACAAGAAGTGTTTGGAGGCTGTGATTTCTGCCAAAGAGGGTATTACCACGTACTGACTGATAGGGTGCCCAAACTTTTGTACATGCCACATTTACTGTTTTATTTTTTTCAATCTGTTAAATTCAGCAAATAAATAGTAACTGTACATTAAATTTTGCTGAAATGTCAAATTTAAGTTTGTTTGCTGCAGAGGTTGTGTTAACTTCTTTTCACTTAGAAAATCAACAAAACATGTAATTTGGCCAGGGGTGTCCAAACCTTTGCATACAACTGTCTATTACCTGTTCAGACACACAAGGACATTCAAAGACTGCACAAAGAAGGTTTATCAATAAGAGGGGTACATTTGTTTTGAGATTCAACAGGTTGACTCACCTTATCACCAATCAATTCTCTCATTAATTAGGTGTTCTAGTGCTAATAAAGTGCATGATGCTTGAATCCATCATAGTCAATCATGAATCAGTTAATTAAAATTAGCCAAAAATTTAACATTATTCAAAATAAGCATACTTTATTTTTCTAAAACTAAAATTATTTTTCATAGCTCAATAGAGCTATGTTTCTTTTGATGTTCAGTATATACAACAAAAAACTGATCGCTTCATCTTAAACACTGTTGTTCTCTTTGAAATTAAATGAAAACTCAGCAGCGATACATTGCAAATGTCTTGTGTTAGCATGTTCTGATTAACAGCAGAGACCTTTCCTTTCATAATTTTTCTTTTTCTCCACAAACATACTTGGAAAAGTGTAAGTATTTGGACAATGAATTGAAATTGGTGATTTTGTTATAATCATTTCTGTACATACGAGACAAAAGTAAATAATGTCAGCTTTTATTGTTTTTGTGTGTACATGTTAAACCACGTTAGAACAAAAATGTTTTTGTGTTCTCAAACCTCCAATTTCAGATCAGCATAAGTATTAGGACCAATTAATTCACACATTTGTAAATTTAGTATTTGGTCACATACCCCTTACATGCAATGATTGCTTCAAGACTTTCATGTGATTGCCTAACCCTAACCCTAACCCATTGATATCACCAGACTCTTGATGCATTCCCTTAAGTTTATTTTGGGTCATTGTCTTGAAGCAGGGTGAATCACCGACCAATGAGTTTGGAGGGATACTTTTGGACATGGGTAGACAGGATGTTTCTGTACACTTCAGAATTCAGAAATAATTCTACTGCTACAATCAATAAACTGTAAGAAGTGAGCCAGTTCCAGAGGCATCCATGCATTCTCCATGCCCATGACAGTACCTCTACCATAATTCATTAATGAGGTGGTATGCTTTGGATTTTCTTTCTCCATACATCTGCCTTTCTGTCACTTTCTGACCTTTCTGTTTGTCTCTTGCAGTGCAGCCCTTGTAATTCTCCTGTCAAAGTCATCTGCACATAGAGTTGAGATAATTTAAGTTAGGTTTGTCTTCACCACTCTGATTTTTCTGTCATCAACTGTTGTCTTCCTTAAACAATCTTGGTCTTTGCCAATTGCTTTCTCCTCCATTAATTTATTTTAGATGAATGAATATTCTTTTTGTGATTTGTGATGTCCTATTTCTCCAATGGTTGAAGTTGGAATTTTAGCTGCTCTTATCTTCACAATTACTACTTTTCCATCATAGATAACTCTCTAGTCTTCATTTTGATTTATGCCTTCTAACTCAAGTGGCAGACCCAAAAACTAAACTCCAAAGTCTGGAACTAAGGCTATACATTTACAGCTCTTTGGTGTTTAGAGCTAATACAACATGCAACACATGAGCAATTAGAAACATCTGTCAGCCATTCGTCCCAGTACATTTGTTCACGTGAAATGAGAAGAGTGAACACAACAATGACTGTTTTAACATGGCTACATATGGACGCAAAATAACAGACAAAAAAAAGAAGTTGAAATTCTATAGTTTTGCTTTATATTGTTCTTTTGATCTGAAACGCAAATTTCGATAGTACACAGCAAAAATGACAAATTCCCCTTTACTGTCCCAATACATAGATTTTTTAAATGTACACTCAGGCTAAAACTGCAGAACTAAAAGAATTTCCGATAATAGTTCCTTAAACATATTTAGGATGTCCTGTTGAAATGACATATTCATATTACTCTGTAAAGAACTTCATAAAATGCCTATTTAAAAAAAACATTCATGCCAAGAAAGCTATTCATTCTATTAATAATAATATTTTTATCTATTGATGTTCTTATAAGAACACACATAATTAATCAAAGGAAACATGGCAAAGTAGAAAAGTAGTTTGGAATCGAGGTACATGAAAAATTTGCTAATAAGAGGTAGAAAATACATTTCCGATATAAAGTGAAATTGTGCCTGGCTTAAGCTGCAACTTTATTGTGGTATTACTAAAAACAATTTGAATACAATAACTTTAAAGGTTTCTTTAGCAATGGTTTTTTGGATCCCTTTAAAGCATTTCAAATCAAGAGTAGCTTTATGTCTACAATGCAATGACTGGTATTTTTATAATTCTTCAAAAAAACAACATAGAATCCATCACATTTAAAAAATTACTAACTTGGCTTCCACATCAGAGCGCAGGAACACTGTAAAAGCTTCTGTGTCGTCATGTGGGCTCCTTCGGCGGATCTTTCTTAGCTGTTCTAGATCACTAAGAGAACCAGTGAAATTGCAAATTTCCTTTGAATCACATTTACAATACAAATACAGATGCATGACTTCAGCCATCATAGAATAAGGAACAAGTAATAGGTTTATTCCATGCTGAAAAGAGAAGAGAGAAAACACATTTCAGCTGTGAAGCCTTGTTCAGGTGTGAGAAAGACAGGGCAGACAGCAAAGGTTAAATAGCACAGAGGAACAAAACCTGGGAGAGGGGAGAGGGGGGAGGAGAGAGGCAGAGAGGCCACTCAGGAAGTGCAAAGTGGAGAGGTATGAAGAAAGGTGAGAAGTCAAAACAGGCATGAGAATGGCGAAGATTACACGAAAAAAAGTCGGTCATTGAGAGAAGGGGCAAGGTGTGAATTTAGTTTCTGAAGTCTTTCTGCTATAGGAGTTGAGAAACCCTTCTTTGAGAACAGAAATGGAGAGATGAGTGTGATAATGGCCATCTGAGGTGAAATGAGAAACTATGGTCTTGAAGAAATCTTTAATTTTCACAGCCCTAACATAATCTCTGAAGCGGTCTCCTAGTCTCCTTCCGGTTTCCCAAACATAGATAGCTGGGCATTTTTCACAAGAGATACAGTAAATGAGGTTGCTGGATGTACAGGTAACCCAAGTCGACCTCAACCATTTTTACTGCAGGATTCGGCTCAAAGCTAATTTTACTGATGACTCCTCCTAACCGGTAGTGGACAACAACCCAGTCACTGATGCCATTAACAATATTAATCCTAAACCAAGCTCCCCCATCCGGCCATTTTCCACCAGTTGATTACTTTATTAACCAATGCAACATTCAAGTTTCCGAGACCCTATCCACACCCAGGAAACACAGGACTAATCTCAACCAGGGAGAACTTCAGGCACTCCAATCTCTCAGGGATGATATTGTCATCAAACGAGCAGACAAAGGAGGAGCAGTTGTGGTGTGGCAAAAAGACTTGTACATTACAGAAGCCTCCTGACAATTAACTGATACTTCTGCCTACCGTCATCTCCAACAGGATCCTACCATTGACTACCAGAAGGAAGTGGTATCCACCATCTCTCTTTTTATCAGCAACCAGGAGCTCATTCCCAACAATGTCAGTCCTACAGCCCTCAAGCACATACTAGACAAACGCACGGTGCTAAATCCACCCACCCACACTCTAGTGCGAATTGCGGAATTGGTTCTCACACTCAATGCATTCTCATTTTATAACCTTTTTTAACAGCAGGTTAGTGGAGTCGCCATGGGCACCAGGATGGGACCTAGCTATGGTAATATTTTTGTCGGCTAGGTAGAAGAATGCTTCTTTGCTTCCTACACTGGCTTTGTCCCAAACCTCTACAAGCGATACATCGATGACTGCATCAGTGCGGCTACATGCTCTAATGACCAGCTAGAGCACTTCCTGCATCAATTTACAAACTCTCACCCGTCCCTCAAATATACAGTTAACATATCTTCCACCACTCTTCCATTTCTAGACATTAATTTATCTATTAACCATCCACGACTCTCTACCTCGGTCTATTACAAACCCACAGATTCACACAGCTATCTCCTGTACAGCTCTTTTCACCCCATTCGCCCCAAAAACTCTCTCCCTTTTTCACAGTTCCTCAGGCTACGTCAACTCTGCAGTGACGACATGGATTTCCAGAACCAAGCACTCAAAATGCATTTTTTTCATGAAGAGAGGATACCCCACCCATGTTATCAATAGGGCCCTCACCCGGGCCAAAAACAGCCCTCGGATCATAAACTCAAACAGGCACTCCCAGTCTCACAACCGCATTCCTTTGATGCTTCCCTACCACTCTAACACACTTTCTATGCCCAGGACCATTATTAACAACTACTCTATTTAACAGGACGATCCCTCCATCGGTACCCTTTTTTCTGACCACCCAATCTACTTAAACTTCTTGTTCACAGTTTCCTTGACTGCACTCGGCAATCATCCCCACCAGGCACCTTCCCCTGCAACAGAGCTCGCTGCATCACCTGCAAATACATATCTAACAACATGCTCATTTAGGGCCCTTAAGGTCAATTCCAGATCACTCAGACAATATCATGTAACTCCAGCAACCTGATTTACTGTATCTCTTGCAAAAAAACGCCCAGCTATCTACGTTGGGGAAACCGAAGGAGACTAGGAGATTGCTTCAGAGAACATGTTAGGGCTGTGAAGATTAAAGATTTCTCCAAGGCCATAGTTTCTCTTTTCACCATAGATGGCCATGATCAAACTGATCTCTCCATCTCTGTTCTCAAAGAAGGGTTTCTCAACTCATATAGCAGAAAGACTACTGAAACTAAATTCACACCTTCTCCCTTCTCTCAACAACTGACTTATTTTTGTGTAATCTTCTCCATTCTCTTGTCAGTTTTGACTTCTCACCTTTCTTCATACCTCCACTTTGCACTTCCTGAGTGGCCTCTCCCCTCTCCCCCCCTCCCAGCTTTTGTTCTTTTGTGCTATTTAATCTTTGCTGTCTGCCCTGTCTTTCTCACACCTGAAGAAGGCATCACAGCCAAAACGTTGTGTTTTCTCTCTTCTCTTTTCAAGATGGAATAAAACTATTACTTGTTCCTTTGCAGACTATGCATGCTGACGCAGCTACCCACCTGAACTACCTTAGAAGAAGGGTTGAAACAATACTTTTGTGTCTCTATACAAAAGACGAAGGTCAGTTTATTATTAGAAAAGGACACACTCAACCCACATTACATTGAACAAATCTGCATCATTATAGAACCCTCTTATTTTTATTTCAGCCATTTGACTATTATCACATTTTTACCCAGCTGACCAGATTTAATCATCATCCACTTTTTGAAAGATGCTTTGAGCTTGCAAAACCAAATATTACAAGGTTACTCAAAATAACTGTTTAAACAAATTGAGATGTGTTTTGCACCTTTTCATGCCATGTTAGCATATCTGCCTAAATATATATTGTCCAGTTTTTCAACTTGTCCCTGCCTCTCCTTAAACAGTCTTACGGCCAATTACCTGGATTTGAGGCAGAACTCATTCATGGCCCTGACGGCAGTGATGAAGTTGTTCTGAGTGTATTTAGAACCATAGTCCCTCTTCTTCAGGACTGCTCTGACTGAGAACAAAATAAAAGACAGTTTAATAAGATGACATGAAAATAGCACAACCTATTCAATTACTGTCAAACTTTAAGAAAAGGTAATAAAAAGAACAGTCTAAATGAGAGTCCACATAGAGACCTTTGACATCATTCATTTACCTGGACATTACTGTACAGTGGCTTGCAAAAGTATTCAGACCCTTGCCATGGTGTAACATTTTGTTACAAAATTCTACATAAACATTTTTAAACTTCATATTTCATTCAAAACCTGAATGTTAAAACTTGAAATTTATTGATTGTATAAGTAACTGAAGGGATGGCCTGATCTAGGCATCATTTGGGTAGTACAATTCACCTTCCATTTCTTGATCAAATGTGTTTAAAGAGATATCCAGAAACTGAAATTGTTTGCACCCTGTTCTTCAAACTGTGCTCTTCAAACTTTACCCTTGACTAGCTTTAAAACATTCTTAGTCTTTATGGTTGAGCCTTTGCTTAAAATCCACCGCCTTAACAAGGAACCTCACAAAACATTATTTCATTCTGAAATAATGAGAACCACCATTATTGTACAGACAGTAGCCACTCAACTAATTATGTGCATGTACATTAAAGGTTTGTTTACTTATGCAAATTATGCTTTCATATTTATTTTCTTTCAACGTGCGATCTATAGATTGTTAAACAAATTATATAAAAAACAACAGCAACTTCAAAGAGATAACAGTATTTAAATCCTAGTTTAACACAGACACCATTTTTAAATAATGTGCAAATTGTTTGCTAGTATTTTTATATCAAATGTCCTAAACATTAGATGTCTGTGTTTTTTAAATCAAACTGTATGTTATGTCTTAATCTATTCTTCCTTTGCAAATAAATTAATGTCAATTTGGCAAATTTATCACCAAGCAATATATAATTATTGTTGCCATCTGGGGACATACTGTATGAAGTAAAGCAAGAACTAGACTTCACCAAGAAATGGGCACATATACGGCACATTAAGCTGAACCTTAGACAATTTATGAAAGAAAAAAATATTTAATTATATTAATATTCAATAAAAATGTTTGGAAATCTTATTTTCTCTGTATTTTTCTAATATCCTTCAAGTATTCATGTAGTATCTGTTATGCTGCTATTGTAACTAAGAAACATGTTAATAATGAAATATGTCTAATTTGGGAGTTTTGCAACAACAACCATTTTAAATTTTAAAATGATTTTATTAGATAGACTGGCTTTATCCTCTACACCTGACATAGCAATCTAACATCAGAGGTCTTCTTCTGACAGAGAAGGAAGAGGTAACTCTTGCACCAAAGAAAATCTTTGTGTACTGATAAGACTTTTATAGTACAGAAAACAGAGACTTCTTTAAATTTGGTTAATATGCGAGTCACATGCATAGCATTAGACTGCTTTCCCAAATGTACACCCACGTGGAAAGCAGGCTTGGGAGCATGACCTCAATCAACAGGCTAATTACACAACCAGTGCTGTAAAATAAGAGAAAGGAGGGAAAAGGTGTTATCCTTCAATTGTCTAGGCCAAAGAAAATGAAAGTTACAGCTGAATATGAAATTCTGTAAAACAGAGAAAGGTGGAGGGAGTGAATTGTTCATTTTTCTAAGTCACCAAATAAAGCGACTCCATTTTATGAAACTATTTTTCAACTGGTATCACTTTTCCAGTTCTACCACTGATCTCATTCTACCTAATCTGCAGAGACTTCATCAACACTTCCCTTAACCATCCACAGTCATCATCCACTAGGCATTTTCCAACAGCTCACACACAGTTGGCCCCTTTATTCATTCCACGATTACCCAAAAGGCATCTTAACAGATACTGGTATGGAATTTTAATTACATTTCCTGAAGGAAGTGCCCTGCCATTTACAAACGCACAGATGTTCTTTGCAAAACAATGACTAACCTGTGTCTATAATTAATTTATAGATTGCTGCCTTCAAGGTCAGCCCTGGAATTTTTTGCCCAGATTTCTCTCTTTAATGCCTGTTTCACCTCCCCTATTCATTTTCAGATTTTTGTTCTTTTGTCTACCTTACGGTTTTGCTTCATAATACTGCTGTTTACCTATACGCTATTGAAGAAACTGAACTTTTTCTTTTGACTGCATACTCTTCAGAATAGCATTAACCTTGGCTTGCCAGATTTTGGTGTCTGTAGACATTACCTTTCACTTGGATTGTTTCTTTTGCAATACCTCCCGAGTTTGACGTTCCTTGTCCTAAAAATAAACAGAAGGTAAAGATATGGTAGGCTTTGCCGGTTTTTCCATTCTTAAAAGTCAAAATGAAACATTATTCCAAAATCTTTACATGCTGAAACAGTCAATCTTCTGAAGCATATAGGAAGTTGCATATATGAGTGTCTGTGTGTGTTCTAGGCTGACCAAAGACAAGAGACACTAATGGAGGCAGGTGTATTGTATGTAGGTATTGAGTGTGAGATAAAAACAAGAGCAACTATGGGAATGGATTGTGTTTGCCTCAGATGCAGTATGGTGTATTAGGTGAAAGCTGACAACTTCAGGGCTGTTATGGAGCCACATAAAAGCCGCAGGGGGTTTGCTGTGCGAGTACACTGTGACTGAAGTCACTAGGAAAAAACTTGTTTGCAGCATTAGTGGTAGATCTGGATAAAATGGAATCGAGTCCGTAACATCTAGGAACTAAGCTCATCTAATGAGACGGAGGCTGTCTGTTACAACATCTTTAAATTACAGCATTGCCTAGACACATAAATATACATACACATCTACACAGAAAAATGTGTAAAAGAATTCAAGAATTCAATTCAAGAATTCAAGAAAAGAAGCAAGTCACACTATTAATAAATCCCCATCAGGTAGAACAAACTCGCATCCGAATCTACAAGATGACGAGATAAATGGGTAAATTAAACTTGCTATGAAAAAAAATATTTCACAAGGAAGCCAGATTCAGTTTACATATAAGAACACAATGTTGGGCACTGCTTCCTTTTATTATCTGTAAATAAGTAAGCCATCTCATCTGTCATCTGTAAGTAAATCTGGAGATATGTTGTGGTTTCCAACAAGGATATCACATAGTACGCATGGAAATGTCATTTTTTAATCATGTTGTGATTGATGTTGGCTACTTCTGACAAAAACAGAAAAGTAAATAATACATTATGGAGGGCAAATATGACTAAAGTGAAATGATACTAAAGCATTTTGAAATGTAGTTCCTTTTACCCCAGATTTCAGCACTTTGCCAATGTGCCCATTATTCCAAAAATAAATGTGAAGCTGAAGCTGACAGGTAGAGAGCCAGCTGCAGGACTTCAATTTTTGACAACTGGCAGAGATAGCGGAGGTGGAAGGTAATCAGAGATCGCCAGAGACAGCCGAGGGAAAGCGGAGATGGGAAAGGATTCAAGCTGTCTGGAATGTGAGTGGTGCTGGACTGGCTTTGGTATTCCCAGGAGATGTCAGGGTTCAGGTGGTCGGGTTCCAGATCAGTAGCTTCAGGGTTTGTCTTTCTAGATTCGGGTTAATGCATTTCACAGGACAATCCTGGACTTGCACTACTTCGAAGTAGCTTAAATGTCAGAGCACTGTTCCAGAGGCTGTTTATGATTTTATAGAGGGATGTTTAATGGGGAGATTGATTGGATGATTGATGGGATGACTGAGAAAATGAAGGACAAATGCATAAACATCCCAAGCACGTTCTAAGATGTCTGGGACGTATGTGATCACTCGTAAGTTACTGTGTCCGAGGGCAACTAAGGACTGCAAACTCCTGCATTCCTGGGTGCGACAGAAGTGTAATCTACCCCTCCAGAGGCAGTCAGTAAAACCAACTATTGTACATCACTGGTCCTAAGGTACTTCAATTTAATTCAAGCTTTATTGTCCCACTGAAGAAATTTGTTTTACAGCACACTCCCAACATAACAAAATAATGACGGAAAACATTTTACCAAAAAAGAAGTAAGTGAAACAGTGTAACAGTAAGATAAGGGATAAGATAGTTACAATACATTATCTGAAAGAGATATTGCAGTGGAGATGAAAGATTTCCAGTGTCTTTTAGTATTACACCTGGGGATACAGAGGTGTTTCCCAGATAGGAGAAGTTTGAACTTGCCGTGAAGGAGTTGAGAGACAATCCATAATACACTTTGCTTTCTTTGCTACTGTTTGTAAAGGATATTTCAATTTGATTTTCCCCAATTAATTTGCTACTTATTTTGACTAGTTTTTCTAGCCTGTTACAATCAATGGTACTGATGTTACCAAACCAGCAAGTGAGACAGAATGTTAATACACTTAGAATCAAAAACTTGTAGAAAAGTGATAGAACGGTTCTTGAAATAGCTTAGTTTCCTTAGAAAAAAGAGCCTACATTGTCCTTTTGTATAAATGGTGTCACAGCATTTGTCCCAACTCAAGTTTTTGTCTATGACTAGCCCCAAGTACTTGCAGTCATCACAATTTCTTCAATCTGACCATTAATTACAGTAGGTTAAAAAGGGTGTTGCATGTTTCCTAAATTCAAAGACCAGCTCCTTTGTTTTTAAAACTACAAAGACAACTCATCCAACCATTTAGTATAGTCATTTAGAATGGGTGAATGATGGATTTTTAGGTCTCTTAATAAGATGACCAGGGCGGTGCCACCAGCAAACTTAATGAGCTGTCTTTTACAATTGTTAGTATACAAAACGTACAGTAAGAGGGACAAAACACAGCCTTGTGGTGATCCAGTAGAAGCTTATAGAATGTCCTAATTGTTAAAAAGTTTAGGACCCATCAGGTTATCAAGTTACTATTTAGCTTGATATTCTCCAAGAGTTTCTGTGAAAGCAATACGGTTTGCATTGTATTAAAAGCAGAGGAAAAGTCAACAAATAATATCCATACAAATAACTCTGCATGACCCAGATGCTGATTGACCAGATTTAATAATGTGAGTATTGCACGTCTACCCCTCTCCTTTCTCTGCATGTAAACTGCAAGGGAGCAATAAGGTCCTGTGTGTGTTTTCTGATTCTCTACAGGCTTGTCACTGGGAGAGATATAAGAGCAGCTGGCCTGTAGCTGTTAAGCTCAGTTGACCTGGCAGTTTTGGAACAGGGATAATGGACTGAGAAGAGATGATTGCAAACTGCAAATAGATCAGATCAGCTGATCTGGAAAAGATTGTAGAAATCTTCTATACACATTATCTGGAGCTGCGCCTTTTCTCAAATTAAATTTCTAAAACTACTTAAGCACCTCTGCTGGATAAAATTTTGATAGACTCAAAAGACACTGGAAGGTCAGCACTATTAGTTGGGGTGTTACTGAGTTTCAGTTCAAAATGGGTGTAAAACACATTTAAATCATTTACCAGCTGTAGTCCAACCATGCTATTTAACACAGGAACAGTACTACCCTAACGCTTGTGGGCGATACTGGTCATGGATTTAATACCCTGCCATGCCAAGCTGAAATTTTCCATAGCCATAGTATTTTCTATGTTTTTCCTGTATTGTTCCTTTCCTAAGTTCCATATCTACTTGAGAAAAAGCAAGTTAGTTTTACTAAATCATCTTTGAACTCATAACTTTCCATTTGGGAAGATGTTGTCTTGATTTTGGAGGAAAAGGAATGAGAAGAACAAAATTTCAAATTCCTACTGTAAACAAATGGATTTAGTACTCTTCTAAAGACAGATAGGCCAAACAGAAAAGGGAGGTATAACAGCAATGAAGGGTGTAAACCCTATCAATATTTACCCAAAGGCCCCATATGAACAGTGCCTTTAGAAAGCCTACTCACCCTTTCCAATGTAACACATAATAACCTTAACTCAAAACATTAAATCATATGTGATTTTACCTTTATTTACACATTGTAATACCCAACCTTCAGGTGAAAAACAAATGGTCAAACATTCTGAAAAGTGAAATTGAAAACATATTGCAATTGCATATTGCTTAAAGCAGGTAAGCTACATTATTTTTGAAGAACCTTATTTACCGTTGGCAAAAGAGCTGACACGTATTATGTGTAGAGAAAAAGCTGCTAAACAGCTCGACCTGCTGCACCCCTCCCCCTGAAAGACACAGTCATTCACAGAATTATTGAAATGAAGGATTATATCAAAAGTACGCTGAGTCTGTAGTCGATTTGGCCAATTTGCTCGTTTACGTTAGATACAAGTTTGAGGGCATGTCCCATGAAGACTTTCTGTTCTGTAAACCGCTACCAACAGGAACTACAGGAAAGCACATATTTCAGCTTCTGAATGAATTTATCGAAGAGAATGGCCTCAACTGGATAAAATGCGTCTGAGTTTGTACAGACGGTGCTAGAGCAATGACAAGCCGACATAACGGTGTAGTTGCACGAATTAGAAAGGTTGCTCCAGAAATTAATGTACGCATTACAACATCCACCGCGAGACCTTTGCCATCAAGAGAATGCCTGACGATTTAATATCTGTTAGACTCGGTTGTGGATTGTATCAAGGCTCGAAAAATTAATTCACATCTGCTTTGCTCAACTAAGCAGGCTCACCCCTCTCACTGAAATGGTGCTTTTGTATTAGTTGTTGTTAATGTTTTTTTTCTGTAAAACACTTTGAGAAGCCACCTTTAAAGGCGCTATATCAAATAAAGTTTATTATTATAATATTTATTATATGTATGTGTGAGTGTGTGTGCACACGCGCTCATGTTGGTCATTGAGAATTTCTGGGGTTCCTATGAGATCATGACTTGTAGGTGGTACTTGGATGCTTTGGCTGGATTAGGGGTGGTACTTGGATGCTTTGGTTGGATTAGGGGTGGTACTTGGTCCAAAAAGTTTGAGAACCACTGCTCTATAACAATAATAAAAAACATTATTTTACATATCACTTTTATGTGATATCACCTTAAGGACAGCACATACAAGAGTTAACTGCACAATGGGCCGCGCAAAGAAATTTGTTTGTATGGGTATTTACTTTGTAATCTGTGGTTTACATCTACTTTATTGCTTTGAGATGCCACTCTTAAAGGTGATATGTAAAATGAAGCTTTTTATTATTGTTATAGAGAAACATGATCAGATTTTCCCTGGTTCTGAAAAAAGATGATTAAAATCTGTAATCTTTCCACTTGTATGTCATTTGAAAATACAAGACGTTTCTGCTTTGTATAAGGATGGTATCAAAAAGTAATCTAAGAGGTAAGAAAGCTGTGCTCCTCAAAGCGCTTTACAGGATAAAAACAATAACAACAATAGTGTTAGGCTGGGCAAATGATTTTTTTATAGAAAAACAAAATGAGATATAATGATGTGTTCCGGCTAAGACATGAACGAGTACAACCCCCCTCTCTGTGGCAGTGCTGGCTGTGACGAATTAAACCAGTTTCACAGGTATTTTCAAAGTAGAAGGGGGCAAGATTTCCAGCGAAAGACACCTCCCCCCATCCAAAAGTACAGTACTTACTAGTTAAGAAAGCTAGGCTCCTCAATGAAATCGCTTTAACATGCTAATGCGTTGGTGTAACAGTCCGGGCGTGGCAAGCTTCTAATGTCAACTCGACAACGGCGAAAGGAACCCTTCATTCATTGGAAGACAATGAACATATTCTAGCCCTAAATGAATTAATAGCAAACATGGTTTACATAAAAGACATTTTTCCAAGAAAGTTTAGCCTTTGTCACTAATGAAACCACTAAATAAAGACATAAATATAGAAATCTTAAGATTTTTAAAATACATGTCTTCGCTAAAATTTATTTAAAAATAAAAACGATTACAAACCCCAGCGGAGAGAGAGAACAGGGGAAGGATGTTGGTTTTGCATAAGGGGCGGGGCTATGGAAATGAGGTATATTTGGGAATGTGGAGTTACATGTTCTGGCTGTTTGTGAATAATCGTTGTTGAGTATAGAGTGTTGAGGTATTGATTTTGTGTAATGCCTTATGTTGAAAATTGAGCTGGATTTTGTTTATGATAAAGAGGATAAACTGCGATGGGAGGAGGGTTTGGTTTAGCATAAGAGGCAGGAGTATGATAATTTGAGGAATTTGATAGAGTTTTTGGTTTGTATTACGAATAATTCGTACAAGATATTGAGATTTGTTGTTGTTTTGTTGAGATTTAACTCCACAAGTCTGAGTTCTTGTGTCCATCCTATCCAAGCCCGAAAGTATTACAATATGTATCTTTATAGGTGGTGTACAGCTTTTTAGTATAGATTACACTTTTCTAAAATGTATTTAAAAAATAAAAACGATTACAATCTAATCTTTCCACATTTGATCCCAAGAAAATAAATCTAAACGGGGAGAAAGCTAGGCTGAAAGTTTATTAAGATACTTAGAAGATAAAGATATTAATTTATGTTGCATTTGTCTGATTGTGAATAAAAACACATATTTAAACACGCATTTGCGATTTAAATCAAAACGTGATTTAATATATCACTTATCAATGATTATTATTATTTAATATACCAACTTTTTTATGACTAATGATTAACATGCTGTAATACACAGTTTAAATTTAAAAGCTCAAATGCTGTACATGAGAGGCTCCTCCTGGCGGTTTTACAAGGTGATGCCGGATACTTTCCGGCATGACGTCAAATGACGCGATTAACCCCGTGATACTGCGACACGCCCACTGGGGTAAACCGCGAAATACCCCACCCATTTTGAATGGCTACATCTGTATATGTGTACACAGTTATTACTCTGTGGAAGCACCTTTTGCTTGAATTACTGTCATAATTCTGTCAGGACCAACGTAGCATACCTAGATTTGACAAAGTGTGTGCAAATTGCAAGGAGATTCTAAATAGACTGCAACCTTCAAATCATTCCAGATTTTCAGTTGAATGGAGGTCAGGGCTCTGATTGCTACTTAAGAACATTTATCTTTTTGTCAAGAGCTTGGGATATTACTGTGACATGTACACACTGACAATTCTTTGACATAAAGGCCTGCAAATCCTTCAAAGCTGCTGGATTCTTTGTAGCCTCTGATCTGATCAGTCTACTCTTTGCTCAATCTTCCATTTTGGAGGAGTGACTTTTTTATATGCATATCCTTCTCTGTGCCTTTCATAGCTTTATCCCAGAGGTATGATAGCTCCTTGTTGCCAATAGTTGACTATTTACTTTGAGAAGCACAACCCAGCAGAGCAGACCTCAAGGAGCATCTGATTTTATTCTGAAACCCTCAGAATCACTATAGCTGGATACAATCTATAAATAAAAGAAAAATACATTCTAATTTAATGTGTCTTGGTTTCAGTCTGTTAGGCCAATAAAATGTGTTACTTTGGAATATAGTCGACTCATGGCGAACCTTTGGATAGTTCCCCCTGTAATTACCCATAAAGTTTTCAGGGCAAGATACGGAAGTAGATTGCCAGGCCTTTCTTCTGCACAGATAGTGTTGTTGCTGTTGTCATGGAAACGAGATCCTCCTCTGCCAACACTGCTCTATACTGCTGCTGTCCAGTATGGGTTATTAGAGAACCTTGTGCCTTGTGGGACACAAACCCACTACCCTGAAATTATTAGTCTCATGCTCTACCAACAGAGCTAGTCGGGGCTTACTATGGAACATAGTTTCCAATAATCTGATAACCCTTAAATAAGCTTCCCAGAAGTATTAACTAATATCTGGAAAACCAAAGTTCAATGTCAGAAGTCTTTAACTTTTATAGCAATAATATAACTAAGAAGCAAGGAAACATTGTTAATTGCTCGACTGTGTAAGAAGAAGAAGGGCATGGCAGTACCAGTTTTCTTTTACACTCGCTCCCTGAAAGAGCCACTGGACTCATTTTGTGGTGCGTATGGCTGTGAAGTCCTTACAGAGAAGTCAGACTGGCCATAAATACAGGATGGCCCACAGCTGCACTAACTGATGCACTAAGCTATCAATTTGTTACAGCTGTGGCTTCCTAGATAGACAATGGCTGGCAGCCCGTTATAGGCATATTATTCACCTCTCCCAGGCAATTGTAATTCCCTGGTTAAGGTTTAGGCAGTTGACTTTTTAGAGATTATTAATATGTGAGGGAACAGAGAATTTGTTTCAGGTAGGAAAATGTAAATTAAGAAGGGGGATTATGATTCTTTACTTATATCTCAACCCATCTGTTCCTGAACACTTCCTGAATTTTATACTAATCCTGCTCTGCCATTATGCTCCTAACACACTTCTCAGTAATGTTTCTGCTACCTCCTTTGGCTCTGGTACCACATTACTTAAGAGTATTCTAACCCTTTTTGACTGGCCTTCATGTTAATGTTATCTACCTGCAGCAATACTACATTTGCATTTTGTCCTGCGCAAGACTCTGAATAAGTTCACATTTTCTGCTATGAATCCAGGCTAGTCTATGGCTATGGCAGCTAGCGACTTTTTTAACCTAACATCGGTATCTTCTGGAGGTTATAACAGCTGAGTTAATGACATGTGTATGATATCACACAAATGAAACAAAAGGAAAACTTATCAAGTTTAAACTACCAAATTGCATAGTCACTATGGAGATCAAAAACATACTTGCCCCCAAACCCATCGATATGAGATATCAGAATAGCAAAAAGGTATAGATCCATCCTAAACCTTAATGACTGCCACAGTCCTAGAAGTGACACATCATCATCTAATGATACTGTATATGGCCAGAGAAATAGTCTGCCCTTCATGATTTATTCATGAATAAATCTGTGAGGTATATTTATGTTTCTGGGGTCTTCAGACAATGTTCAATCTTAATTTTGAAGCATCTGGAATAAAGCAGTTAAAAGTAATTCACAGAATTTTACTTTGGATTTAAACTAGACAATAAAAAAAAGAAGTTACCTGTTGGCTCGTTTGCAGGCTGTGCAGCCAGTTTGTCTGGCCCAGACAGAAAAGATCCATCCTTCGGTGTGCCAGACGTGGAAAAAAAATGTACTTGTTTTTTTGCTAATATAGATTCCCAGCTGTCAGGAAAACTAAACCAGAGGCTTCTGACATTTTTACTGTTTCGCCACCCTGTGCCAGAATAAAAAAAAAACAGAATTAATATTTACTATGTATTAATATATTTTAATACCTTCTTTTCCATGTTGCTTTACAATTTAATGGGGTTTGTTTCATAAACATTAATCCTCCCCATTAGCAAAATATTTACATGCACCTTTAAATTGCTGGCATTGTACTGGTTTAAATTTCTCATTTCTCATTAGGTTTTTCGTTTACCATTTCGGACTACCTCAATTTCTAGTGCATTAATACCATTTTGAACTCCCTTTGACCTGAATATATATTACATTTGACTACAGATTCGGAACTGGAAGTCTTTTTATCAGTAAATAAGTGTGGGATCCTGCAGTTACTATTGTTTCTTTTATTATTATTTTAATAATTATAATATTTATTTATTATCTGTTATTATTATTATTAAAGATATTGTGGTCTTTTGGGTCCTGTATTCAGTTCTAGCCTGGGTGTGTGATATTTGCAAGGTCTCCAGTGTTAACAGGGATTTCAACAGGTGCACCAAAGAGAGTGGCTAGATTAAACTCTAGCCATTCAGCCCATCTTATTTCTTTTGTAGTTTATTAGCTAAATTAATTTAATCCAGCCATTTTTTAAAAGAACCTTTAGTTCTGACCTGAACCAGTCTAAGAAGCGGGTTCCGATGACCTATAATTTTGCAAATTGTAAATAAGTACTTATTTTCTGTCCTAAATGAATCCCTTTATAGTTTCAAATTGTGAAATATTGAAAGGGGTGAAACAAGCGCCTTTAGTAACAGTTGTTTGTACCCCATAATATCTTACATACTTAAATCAAATCTCTTGTCAATCACATTTCCTCTACATTGAAGAGACAAGTTCCTTAAGAATATTATTTTTTTCTTTGTCTGAAACTACAATATCATTTTTGTAGTATGGTGAAAAAATAAAACAGTATTCTAAATGGGGGTGTGATGAAGGGCTGCTTTACATATTTGTACTCTGATGACATGAGCTCATAGCGATGCGACAGGCTGATCACCAGTTACAAGAAGCATGTGGTTACACTACTACAACTAAAGGTGGCTACAACTACTACAACCAGATTTTTGCCTGGCCTATATTTTAATTATAACCACACCTGAATTTGGTACCAGGTGGTTTAGTCATATAAATTTTACAAATGCACTGTAAGCTTCAGGACGAAATCTATACATTTTTACCAATTAATTATTACCAATTTCAGTGTGAACTGAAGGAACCTATACCTTTACCTACATTCGCAGCTGGTCATCTCTCCAAGTTCTCCTGAGTGGAGGCATAACTCATGTATCCTATGCATGATCCTATGCACAAAACGGAACAGCTAATTTCTTAGCTAATTAGAGGTCTTGGTAAATTGCTCAAAGGTTACCTAACTGCCTAACTTTCTGACCTTGTTTACACATTATATTATAACAACCTGTTACTGTCCAATCATAATGTATGTTTTTATTTAGAAACTTTTGCTCATCTTTGTAACAGTGTGGATTTTCCAGATTGCCTTTTCATGGGATGGAGGGGTAGGGAGCTGGTCCATATTCACTCAAATTAGGTTGTTCACTCCTTCCACTGTGTCACACAACCCTCCCCCCAGCTTAGAGTGGTCCACCTTACGCAGTCAGGTTGTGTCTCCTAGACAGGGCATCAGCATTCCCATGAGCGGCTCCAGCTCAATGTTTCACCTCAAACTGGTACAGCTGAAGGGCAAGGAACCACTGTGTCACTCTGGCATTTTTTTCTTTGTTTGCCTTCATCCAGGTGAGTGGAGCTTCAGTCACTAGAGAGAATTCCCTGCCCAGCAGATAATACCGTCATGATTCGACTGCCCACTTCAGGCCCAGACACTTCTTTTCAACCACGGCATATTTCTGTTCTCTCAAAAGCAATTTCCTTCTTAGGAACATAAGAGGATGTTCTACTGTTCTACTATGTTCTACTCTTCTACTCCAGCAGCCACATCACCCTGCAACTCACAACTGGCAACCCACTGAAGCTAAGCAGGTGTGAGCCTAGTCAGGACCTGGATGGGAGACCTCCTGGGGAAAAAACTAAGGTTGCTGCTGGAAGAGCTGTTAGTGGGGCCAGCAGGGGGCGCTCACCCTGTGGCCCATGTGGGTCCTAATGCCCCAGTATAGTGACGGGGACACTATACTGTAAACAGGCGCCGTCCTTCGGATGAGACGTAAAACCGAGGTCCTGACTCTCTGTGGTCATTAATAATCCCAGGGCGCTTCTCGAAAAGAGTAGGGGTGTAACCCCGGCGTCCTGGCCAAATTTCCCATTGGCCCTTACCAATCATGGCCTCCTAATAATCCCCCTCTATGAATTGGCTACATTACTCTGCTCTCCTCCCCACTGATAGCTGATGTGTGGTGAGCATTCTGGCGCACTATGGCTGCCGTCGCATCATCCAGCTGGATGCTGCACATTGGTGGTGGTGGAGGGGAGTCCCCATTACCTGTAAAGCGCTTTGAGTGGAGTGTCCAGAAAAGCGCTATATAAGTATAAGCAATTATTATTATAATTAATTACTCAATTCCTGAGACAGGACGGCACCTATCACCTTCTCCAATGCATCGGTCTGTGGAAGGAATCGTTTTCCAAAATCCCACACTTTGAAGACGGGCTTCCGATATAGGGCATCTTTCAGGTTGGCAAAGGCCTAAAGCAGATTCCAGGGTCCAACATACCGTCTAAGGAGCTGAAGTATGCGTCAGGTCTGGGAGGGGGGCAGCCCATTCAGCAAGCTGGGGAATACAGTGCCGGTAATAATTAAACAGTCCCAGAAATGACTTCACCTCCAGCTTCTTTTTGGTGACTGGCCAGTCTCCAATTGTTTTGACTTTGTTGAGTTGAGGCCATATTTGACCCTCACCCACTGCATAACCCAAGTATTATATCGATACAAACCCGAATCAACTCCATGTTGGGCTGATATGCAGCCCTGCCTCATTTAAAGAAGAGAAGATGGCCTAACAATGTTCAAGATGTGAAAGCCCAGTCTTCACTAAACATAAACAGGTCGTCCAGGTAGGCAGCTGCATACTAAAGGCGGGGCCTCAATAGTCGATCCATCAGACACTGAAAGGCGGCCAGAACCCCATGCAGACTGAAAAGAAGCACCTTGTATTGAGATAGACCTGAAGGTTTGAAAAGACAGTTTTGCCTTGGAGAGATATCTGTCAGTACCCCTTTTTGAGATCTAGTGTTATTTACTTAGCCTTCCAAAATTTCTCTAGGAGCTCATCAATCCGGGGCATAGGATATGCATCAACTAGAGACACTTAATTTAACTTCCTGAAATCGTTGCAAAAAACACCAGGATCCGTCAAGGTTGAGAGTCAGAATCACGGAGCTGGACAAGGGGCTAGTGCTTTCTTCAATCACATCCAGCCCCAGCATCTTCTGAACCTCCTTACGGATTTCCTCGTATTTTGCTTCGGGGATGTTATAGGGCGGAACCCTCACAACAACCCCAGGTGGCATACCGATGTGATGACGGACGAGATTTGTTCACTGCAGCAGGATGGAGAAGAGGTGTTGGTTCCGACACAATAGAGCAGTTGCTTCCCCTGTTTGGCTTGGGGAGAGGTGTGGAGAAAGAGTCACGGCGCTACCTGCTGAAGAGCTATAGGCACAAGACAGTAAGGAAGGAACACCCTCGTCAGTGTTATATTCACGTCATGGTTTTAAGAGGTTATATGATATAGGCTCACCTTCTTTTTATGGTCAGAGTGATACATTTTATGTTACAGGATTTATCCATTTGTGAACTTCATAGGGGCCCTGCCATCTGGCATAAAGCTCACACTCTGGAGCATGCAGTAGTAGCATTACACAGTCCGCTGGTTGAAAGGTGCAAAGTTGAGCGATGCGATTATAACGTTTTTGTTATCTGTCCTGTGGCTCACTGAGACGATGGTCCACTAGCGGTTTTAACTGGGACAACCTCTCCTGGAATTTATTTACATAATCCAGGATGTTATTGGAAGCCAGCTGTTGAGTCTCCCTGGATTTTCAGGCATGTCGAGGATTCCTGGGGCTGTCTTCCATAAAGCAACTCAAACAGGGAGAATCCCATTGAGGCCTGGGGCAATTCCCAGATGGCAAACATTAACACGGGTAGGAGCAGATCCCAGTCCTTTTTTCCCTAGTTTGAGATACTTTCTTTAACATCTGTTTTAGAGTCTTATTAAACCTATCCAAGAAGTCATCGGTCTGGAGGCGATAGAGCGACGTCCTCAAAACATTTTATTCTCAAAAGTTCTGCGACCTCCTGCATCAGCAGAGACATAAATGGTGTTCTCTAGTCGGTTAGGATTTCTTTAGGAAGTGTGACTCTAGTGAACAAATTTGCCATTTCCCTATTTTTGCTGACAGCCCTTCGAAGGGGTATAGCCTTTGGATACCGGAAGGCATAGCCAACAATGACTAATATGTATTTGTGCCCCGGGTTGTTTTAGGTAGGGGACCTAAGAGATCCATGACAATACGGACGAAAGGCTCTTCAATAATGGGAAGGCAGTACAACAGTGTCCTGACCAGGTCTAGTGCAAGTGTTCACATTACTCCTATCCTGGAGTCCTTGCACTGGCTTCCGGTCAAATTCCGCATAGACTTTAAAATCCTCATGCTCACCTATAAGGCTTTACATGGCTTGGCACCTCAATACCTGTCTGAACTTTTATCGCCCTACTCCCCACCTCGCAACCTCCGCTCTTCAAATTCTGCCCTCCTTACTGTCCCCCAAGCCCGTCTACATTGTATGGGTGACAGGGCCTTCTCCTGCTATGCCCCCAAGCTCTGGAACTCTTTGCCCAAGGATATCAGAGAGTCACCTTCTCTAAACTCCTTCAAATCCAGACTCAAAACCTTCTTCTTCAGAAAAGCCTTTACTTAACTGGTTCCATTCTTCACCCCTCTGCTCTTCTTAGTACCACCTTACACGGTCTCCTCTATTGTTATTGTTGTATTGCTGTAATTATAATGTCC